GAATGATAAGTAGCTGGTTAATACTGACAATTCTTTCCCTCTCAATTCCTTTAAAATATGTTAAGGCAAAAATTAAAACACCAACCGTGGAGTTTTCAATGAATGCGCACATAATCACAAAGACAGCGCAGGGAGGGAAGGAAGAGTGCAAGTGAGAGTCTCCCAACATAGACTAAGTATTTATAAAATCCAGCAGTGGAGAAGGCTTTTTAAGCAGGACACGTAAAATTGAAAGATAAACAACAAAACTGAGAATAAATATCAGTAGCATACAAGGCAAAGGGTCACTGTCCTCTGCATATTAAGCTACCACAAATTACTAAAACAGTACTCTCAAACAACGAAGGAAATAAAAGATAAAACAGGAAATTTGTTTTTAAAAATCAAATGATTAATAAGCATGTGAAAAAATTATTTATTTAGAAAAAAAGGTAAATTAAAACAATCAGATGCAATTCTCCTCTGGGGAGTGAAAAAGGGTTGAAGATTGAGCTAATCACCAATGACCAACGATGTAATCAATCATGCCGTCATAAAAGAACTGCCATAAAACCCCCAAATCCTGGTGACTGCATCCAGGCGCCAAGGAGGGTGGTGTGCCTTGGTTCCATGGGACCCTGCCAGACTTCACTCTAAGTACTTCTTTGTCTGGTTGTTCAATTTCATTTGTTATAATAAAGTGGTATAAGCAAAGAGCTTCCCTGAGTTGTGAGCCAACATAGAAAATGACCAAAGCTGAGGAGGGAGTCAAGGGAACCTTCCATGTGTAGCCACATTGGACGGAAGCGTAGGTAACTTGGGGAGCTACAACTTGATCTTGGTGCCTGAGCAAGGGTGGAGAGGAGCGGGGTCCTGTCTAAGCCCTTAACTAAGCTACAATTGTGGGTAACAGAACTAAAGTATGCATAGACTTTACGGCAGCAAAATGAACAGCTTCTGTATTAAGTTCCTTTTTGGGGGAATTTTCCTTTCTTTCTTTCTTTCTTTCTTTCTTTCTTTCTTTCTTTCTTTCTAATTTGACACGTGAGAGAGAGAGAGAGAGAGAGAGAGAGAGAAAATGAGAAAGCAAGCTGCAAGGTCCGAGACTCAAACCATGGTTGGCCACGTGGGAGTCCAGTGCCCTTAACCAACACGCCACCTGTCAGCCCCAATAGGTAACTTTTAATAATACTCAAGTTGAACTTACATCTATAATATTGTGAAGAAATATTCAACTATTACCTTTGCTTCAGTTTCCTTAGCAACAATTCTCCCAACCCGCCAAAAAACCCAATCATCTCTATACCCTCGAGGGTTAAGGCAGTGTCTAATGGTGTAAAAGGACTAAATGAATTTGGGAAGGAAAGAATGGCAAGTTTCCCCAACTAATAATGTTATAGAAGTAACATTTCTGATAACATTTTCTTTTTTAAAAAATAATTTTTTTAACTGTATTTATTCATTTATTTATTTAAAT